CTTTGTTAAGATTTTTTTTCGGTTGATTTTGCAATGCTTTCATTTGCTTTTACGCTGGCAGCTTCCAATTGGACGCACAATATCATCATTATCAACATTAACATCATTATCATCATCATCATTATCGTGAACAACAAAACTTACAAAAGTTTTCAATGTCGCACAAACATTGAAAATATTTGTTTGTAAGCTGCTTATTCAAAAGCATCAAAAGCGGACATCAAATTCTCCATTCGTTGCAAATAAAGCAAGTAAACGGTCCTGGTCGGGAGCTCCCGACTAGGGGATACCCTGAGCCCTCATCCTTCAACACCAAATGCAAATATATATACTATTCTAGATGCTATATGTCAAGTTTGGTGACTCTAGCGCTTATTATTTACCAAAGTTGCCCAAAAATCAGGATATCGATATCGATTTTGATCGATTACTTGGAAATGGGGAAAGTTATCGATTATTGGAAACAAACTCGATCTGTGCTGGCACTAGGAGGACCTACATCTAATATTTCTCTAATCTCTAGCTCTTATAGGTTCTGATATCCTTGCGTTCATACATACGGACAGACAGACGGACGGACAGACAGACAGACAGAGCATGCAGATCAAGAATATACATATATACTTACATACATTATGTTACATACATTTATTTTTTGCACATATACAATATACCCTTTTTAACCATTTTAAATGGGCTCAGGGTATAATAAATATCTACTCGAACCAAGCTGCTTTTCAACTAAATATTCTATACCCTAGAAGTCCCAGCGAACTCGGCTTCTGTAAGATATCAAGCTATCAAATTTGGTATGCAGTTGCTTGCATTGAAAACAAGCTGAGATATGCTTTTAACTTAACTCTATGGAAAGACGTAGTTCTTCAAACCCCAAGAGAATCATATAAATTCCAGTAAAGTTACTCGAGAACAGATTTCTACAATCCATTTACCCTGAACCCATTGAAAATGGGTAAAAAGGGTATAATGTATTTGTGCACATGTATGTTACAGGCCATAAAAGGCATTTCCGACTCCATAAAGTATATATATATATATATCCGGATCAATCTCAATCAATATCGATCTCAGAACCTATAAGAGCTAGAGACTGAAATTTTAGCTGTAGGTCCTCCTATTGCCCGCGCAGTGTGAGTTCTTTTCCGACAATCGATAAATTGCGCCGTATAAAAGTAATCGATAAAAATCGATATCGAAATGCTATTTTTAAGCAAACCCCGGAAATTTCGACCCGTGTCAAAATATTGTAAGTATATTTGAGATTAAGATTTTCATATGAAGATGCAAGAATAATTTTGCCAGATTTATGAGTAAAGCTTTGAAAGCAAAATGTTTTGACAGAAAAAAACTCATTCTTCGACCGATTTCTTGTGCATCTTGAAAAGATTTGCCTCATATGTGAGCAAAATAATGTAACTGCAAAGAAATGCAAAGTTTGGTCAAGAAAAAAAGATAAAGTAGTCCGATTTTGATGAAATTTGGTATAGAATGAAACATATAAATGCTGGGTTTGATCCAGATAACTGGATAATTTGAAAAGTTTTCCAAATAAAGAAACCTACTTTTACTTTGTCAATGACAGCTATAGGATATAGTAGTCCGATCCGACAAATGCTCAGTCTGCAACAGAGAGTTGGAAAGATGGAGACTAGTTTGCATAGAAAGAGACGACCAGAAGGGCGATTCGGCTGTTGATGCTGATCTGGAATATATATGTATGTCTACTCTTTATACTCGCAAATGTTTGCTTCTATGCGTTGCACATTTCCGGACAATATTATAATACCGCACACAAGAGCTTTAAAATGGGTTTGAGTTGCGAAACCTTTAACTTTAATTTGAGTAAAATCTAAATAATTCTATTGTAATTATATTTGTTTTTATGATTGCTTTTCACCTCTCAGGCTCCACACCCGGGCCCCTTATGTGCTTAGTTTCGCTGTGCATCATCCCTAGCCCCCCCTACCACTACTTCACACTCCCTAACCTCCCCCCCCTCTCTCTCTCTTTTACTGCAGTTGCCAGGCAACTACGCTCTTTGCGCTAAATGTTATAATTGCATTTTAAGTAGCATTTGCTTTTCGGGTATTTGGGGGTCAGCGCGTTTTTAGTGCGGCCAACCTTAGTCGAATCTCTAAACCGTCCACAGCTGCATGCCCCACCCTGTCCCCCTTCCCACCCACCCTCTCACCATGCTTTGACGCTCGTCTGGGCAGTTGCCTCCTTTTCTGCATGCATATTTAACTTGAATGAGAGTCGCTTCCACTGCTGCGCCAGCTGCTGCTTGACAGTGTTGTATAACGACAGACTGAGTGAAGCTTGGAGTAATGTTTATGAAATACCCTGTGGCAAGGCTTGAAAGGCTTTAGAGTTATAAGCCTAAGTTCAACCGTTTCAAATTTCGGCTTAAGTTTCGGTTCCTTTTTGGATTTCCCCTAATCGCAATCAGTTTGGCTTGGAGCCCCATCTGCAGTCCTTGTAACATATATGTATGCATATGCCTTTATGCCCAATTGTCTGGCAGGCAGCCTTGCTTCCAAGTGTTTCAGGCTTAAACACAGTGTCTAGCTACCCCATTTATGGTCATCTTTTAATACAGGGTATCGGCACGTGATAGTCAAGCAGCACAATGAAAGCAAATTCAATTTTGGTGCCACAAATCGATTTATTAAAGTTTAAACAGCTGGCAGAAACAAAAAAAAACCCCAAATGGCGTCGACTATGCGGCGTGTCCCCCAGTTTCGGCCGCGGTCCCAATCCGGAATGAGCCAACCCCCCCCCCCTCTCTCCCCTACCACTCTACGGCACGCAGAAGCTGTTAATTTAAATGAGCTGGCGACCAGCTCAGCCGCAGGCCATAAACAGCCTCCACATGACATTATCCAAATGGATAAGAAGATTTTCGGTCACACGGATAAGTCCATATCAGAGATACATATATATAGTGTATGTAATATATATATATATATATATATATATATTTGTATATATGTATGCAAATGAGTCACGCACACGCTGGTCTCTTCATAAGTATTATGCTTTCCCTTTTATACCCTGCTCGAGGGTATTCGAAGTTTCTCATGAAATATGTAGCCCATAAGGTAATATATATAATCTAATCCTTATCAGAGCATCATCAGTTGTGCCCGTCTGAAATACTTATTTGTTTTTTTTTTTCAAAATACCTTGAACAAACCTGACATATACGATTTCTACCCTAACGCTTAGCCATAAGCTAGATCTCATCAATATCAGACTCTATATCATATAGGTCTATGGGCAAAATAAATTTGTACAGCGAATACATTTCAATATTTGCCAGAAACTATGAAGAAACTTCGCATTTATGGATTTGCCCATTCTCTGCGCATATCGTAAGGGTATTTAAAATTCGGCGTGGAAAACCCTTTCCGTTTATTCATGTTTTTTTTTTGTCTGAATGTCGCGCGTATCCTGCTCGGCGTTAATGTTATTTTTCACAGATATATGTATTGCCAGGCCGAGCACATTGAATATAGGCGCAGGGCGTGCTGCCGGCGCGGCGGGGGCGTGGCATATGAACACGTCGCATCTGGAAAGTAAATGAAATTACGGCAACAACGACGACGACGACGACGAGGACGACAAATCCTTTTAAATAAATCCTGACCGCGCCGCATCGCAGCAAAAATGAAAACTGAAAGAAATGAGTTAAAATACAAACGAAATGAGCAGAAAAGAAATTTGGCAACCCAACTAGCGAATACCCTGTAAGCAGTTAACAGAGATGGATAGGTGAGCGTTGAACTGCCTTTAAGGCCCACTGGTTCAAACTCGAAATTCCGATTACATTTTTACAATGCTTCGGATCAAGGAATTCGCTCAAATACAACTCAGCCATTAAATATGGCCATTAAATGGAGCTCATGAATGTCGAATATCGCTTTTACAAACCTAACCTCAAAGCAGGAATTTCGAATCGATTCGAATCGGACTTAACAATAATAACAAAGCCATAACCCAAAAACTCTTCCGTTTTTGTTTAATTAAAAAAATGCCTCAGTATCGCGAACTTTACGCTTTGGATGTCAAAAAGGCGAGAACAATGCAACAAACAATCGTGCCCACATATCGCCTTTGACAGTGTTGGTAAAGATGTTATCCAAGGTGGCAAATAAGCAGAATATATGTATGTACATTGACTCTAAAGTTAACTATGTATGTATGTATAATGTTTTAAGATTCTGGTATCTGAAACTGCCGCCTGTCCAAGAATTTAAGGGGCATATCGGTTGTAAGAAAGCAAGCAAATTCAATTACATTTAAATTAATTAACAGGATTTGTTATGCCAGCAGCCTGTGCAATTGCTGACAGCACAGGGTGCACAGAGAGAGTGCACAGGGCGGCCAGACTCGCTTGAGCTGCGGGATGCGCGCAAATGAATAATAGAATACGCTCAAAAAGAAGAAGAGAAGAGTGATACGCATGTAACTGTACATTGTTGAGCGATATGTAAGGAAGGTCAATTAATCGATATATATATGTAATTGGCGAGTGAACAATTCGATTAATCGAAAAGCGTGAAGGCCGAAGCTTAAGCGTTGACGATCTGGCAACGCTGTGCATTGTGCCGCCTACATGCTAGTTTCGACACGCACACACACACAGACACACACACACACACACACACACACACACACACACACACACACACGCACGCACGCACGCACGTAAAATCACAAATTACAAACTACTTAGTTGTTGAAGAAGTTGTCAGAACCCCAACAAAATTCAATTTATTTGTTTGCTTTTTTCATTTGAATCCCTCTCCCTCTCTAACTGTATTTTGCGTAAGTAAACGAGACCTAAAACTAACTATAAATACGCGCCTCCTATCCTATAAACAATATATTTATATACATATATATTTATATATATATATATTCACTTGCTGTACGCATTTGTTGATTGATTTGCAGCCACCGCAACTTGGATTGAAAAGATGCCGCGCAATGTGCGCCAGAAGAAACGCGCCGAGCGCCGAGTGCAGGCGGCCGCTGCCACGGCTGCCGCTGCCGCCGATGAGGCGGCCAATGAGAATAGCAGCAAGCTGGTCAGCGAGCTGGACGAGCATGCCATGGGCGATGGCCATGGCGGTGACATTAACAACAACAACAACAACAACAGCAACAGCAATAATAGCTTGAGTTGCAGCAACAACAACCACAATAGCCACAGCAACAACAACAGCAACAGCTGCAGCAACAACAACTGCAACAGCAGCAGCAACAACAACTGCAACAGCAGCAGCAACAACAACAACAGCTGCAGCAACAACAACAACAACAGCAACATCAACATAACAAACAGCCTAAACACAAGCAACTTGAACAACAACATTAGCAGCAACAACAACAACAACAACAACACGGCCAGCTCAAGCAACAGCAGCAGCAGCACAAATGTTGTGCACAACAAAAAACCGAAAGCATCCCGTGCCGATCCAATTCTGGCATCGTTGAGCAAAAATGCGTTACGAATGAGCGATGTGCAGCTGTTGCATGGACCCCACTGGCTAAACGATGCGATACTCAATTTCTATTTTGCCTATCTGGAGGAGGTTAAATACAAATCGAATGTTGACTTTCTGTTTGTCACGCCAGAGATGTCACAGTGCATGCTCTATATGGACGATAAGGAGCTGCACGGCCTGTTGGTGGCGCAGAATCAGGCGCTGCGCAAACCTTTCATATTTATGGCATTGAATGATAGCCATTCGCGCGATCGGGGCGGGGCACATTGGTCGCTGGTTGTTGCCTCGCGGCCGGATAAGAGTTTCTTTCATTTTGATTCGTACGGCGGCGGCAATACGAATTGCTCCCTGGAGCTGATCAATAATATCAAGGATGTGCTCGATATGCAGCATGCTCGCTTCCGGGGCATGCGCTGCCTGCAGCAGAGCAACGACTACGATTGCGGCATTCATGTCATTTGCATGGCCGATCAGTTGACCGACTATGTGAATCGTTATGATAGCGTTGATGGTGTTCAGCCGCTGCATCAGGATGTGATCAAGGCTAAGCGCAATCAGCTTATCAAGCTGGTCGCCTCGCTGGGTCAGCATATTTGAGGGCAGCAGCAGCAGCAGCAACAACAACAGGGAACACAACAGCAACAACAACAGACAGACAGACAGCAGACAACGCTCACAATTTGCAACAGAAACGCATTTTCCCCAGTTTAACGCTCGCTCATTTGCACTTCGCTCAGCTGCGTTACACTGCGCACTTTACAACACTGGCACACAAGTCACACACATACACACACGCAGACAGACAAACAGACACACGCTCGCCCTCCTATCTGATTCTCTCTCTCTAGCACTCTTTGACAGTCTTGGAAAATGCGTTTTGTTTGCTCGTTAACACACACAACACACACAACACACACAAACACACACACACAAGCACAAGCAGAGACAAATGATAACTGTTTTTATTGGTGCTGTATAACTAGAAATTCATTTCATGATCTCTCAAGCAGACATTAAATGTATTGATACCACATTTAAATGAGTTCTTCATTAGTTTGTGGCATTCCAGAAAACGAAAACTATGCTAAAGGATATTCTCAATTGACTTGTGCCATTCCAATAAGCAAAATCGCCTTTTTATAGCTAGAAATTCATTTCATGTTCCCTCAAGCAGACATTTAAGATATTTATATCCCATTTGCAGACATTTTACATTCGTTTGCGCTGTTCCAGAAAACGAAAACCATATTAAGATAGGTTTTTAATAAATAAGTGTCATTCCAAGAAGCGGATTCGTACCTTCCTTTAACTAGAAATTCATTTCCTGATCTTACAAGCAGATATTAATATGTATTATGGCAGGGTTTAATTATGATCTTAATTCGCTTAAGCGATTCCAGGAAGCTGCAACCATTTTTAAGGACGTTTACGGCATTCCCAGAAACGATTTTGCTTTCGTTTAGCTAGGAATTAATTTCATGTTCTCTCAAGCGGACATGTAATATATTGATAGCAGATTTGAAGGCGTTTTAAGTTCATTTGTGGGATTCTAGGAAACGACAGCCATATTTAGAGACGTTCTTTGTGACATTCCAAGGAACGGAATTACGTTCGATTAACTAGAACTTCATTTCTTAATCTCTGAAGCAGGTATTTAATAGATAAATACCAGGCTTAATTATGTGCTCGATGCGTTTGTGCTCTTCTAGGAAACGAAAGACGTTCTTAACTAATTTGTGGCATTCCAGGAAGCGAAATCACGTTTGTATAAGTAGAAATCAATTTCAAGATCTCTCAAGCGGACATTAAAGACATTTATATTCCTCTTCTGGGGAAATTAAGACCATGCTTAAAATTGTTATTAATACCTTCGTGACATTCCAAGAAACGAAATCGCGCTCGTATAACTATTAATTCACTTCATGATCTTTCAAGCAAACATTATACCGCATTCTAAGGTTTTGCTGAGCTAGTCTTTGCCATTCCAAGCAGGAATTCAATAGGAATTCTTTTTCTGCTTCAAACAGCAAAGAATTAATGCCTTTAAACCGAATATGAAGACGTTCTCAGCTAGTTTGTGCCATTGTACCAGCCACAAAATGGTGCGAATTGCAGCCAAGTTGAGGCATCAGGCAACTCTTGACCTAACCGCAATTCATTTACGTAATACGTATTTTCTTTCGCCAGACTTTGAAAGGACTCGCCCTCGCACATTCATTCACAGGCGTTAAACAAATACCGCGTGCACTGTAAATACGTTTTTTTTTCGAGTTACGTGCTGCCGCAAATGTTTTGTTTGCCCGCTTCAGATGCTCCTCAAAGTGTAAACTCAATTTACGTGATCGAATTTCTTTCGCTCCTCTTCTTTTTTTTTTGCCCCAGCACTTTAGGTGTAATCAGATTCACAGCTGGTTCTGCCACCCATTTTCGCCACACACACACAACCATTTTGCCAAGGGTTGAACAACACTTTGATTGTAATCAATTTTTGTCATCTCGGGTATTCCAGTTGGCGGTTTAGTGCTTCCTGGCATGAACTTAAATTGAAATTGTTTTTAATATTGATTGGATTCTTAGTTTTACGTAAAAACGCAAAGTGCAAACACTTTAGAGCTAATAAACATTTAAGTTTAGTTTAATTCAGCATGAATATGTATTGCACAGATTATATTTATTATACAGCTAGATATTAACCAATTGATAAGAAGAATTTGCATATCACAAATCTTTTCGAAAAGTCTTTACTGTAGCTGCTAGCTTTGCTTACTTTTCAGCAGACTTTAGAAAGTCTACGCGACCTGCCTATACTATTCTAGAAGCTATCAATGTATCTAACTGCTAAAACCCAAGAGATATGCTTAAAAAAACAGAATATCTACATATATCGATTCTTATCGATTGCTTGGAAACGGGGCAAGTTATCGATTATCGCAGGGAAACTCGAACTGCGTGGGCATTACTTTTCAAATTTCAAGTCTCTAGCTTTTATAGGTTCTGAGTTCCTTGCGGAGAGACTCGACTATTGAAGCTGCACGAATACATTATACCCTTTGAAGCCCATTTTCAATGGGTGCAGGGTATAAATGGCAAAGCGATTTCCTACAAAAAAGAATACTCTATTTCATCGCAGCTCAAAAAGAAAGTGAGTACAGCTACAATAAGTACTCGAACTATCAAATGATTGTTGACATTAAGGGTATGCCAGCAGTCGGGAATGGAATAGTGCACAATTGTGGCATATAAAAGTTCAAAGTAATTAATTCTTTGATTTAACATTTCACATAGACGGGCATGCATGGGTATGCAAGTTTTGTGAAAACAAGAGGACACACATTCAGCCCAGAGAATATATGTCTATATATTTGTGTGTATATTCTTTAACAGCATCGATCCAGACATTTCCGTCTGTTCAAGCCAGAGAGTCGGGCAATTGAAACTAAGCTACTCGGAGTTTCTTTAGAATGAACGATAGCTCGGCTTGTTTGCATGAAATCGATAAATATCGTTTATGATTATAATTTTTTAGCCTATTTCGTAGGTTTGAAGAGCTAAAAACAAATCTCACACATATCGCGCCCAAAATGATGTTTGCTTTTAAGTTTGAATTTCATAAAGGCAGCTCAGCGCTAAATACAGGGTATGTACGCGTCGGATGCTGCCAATTGGGCAACTTTTACCGGCTTACGCTTATTTACTGCATGCGTCATTTGCCTCAAAATGGGGCAACGCGTGTTGCATGGCTCTGTTGCTATTGTTTTATTGTTCGTTTTGTGGGGTTTTCTTTTCTTTACTCCCATTTTTTTTTTTTTTTTTTGTGTTTGCTCGTTAACGATTTTTATTGTATTTATTTTGCACTTCATAGACGACCTGCCTGCAGCAACTGGCTACTCAAAGTGTGCCACAGATTAAACGAGTGAGTGCGAGTGTGTTTGTGTATTTGAAGAGCACTCCAGGGTAAGCCAACATGCACACAGAGACAAACCGCTGAATAATGTGTCGTGCAGCTGTGAATCACTCGTTGCTGAGTACGAGTTCGACCTCGAGTACGAGTTCGAGTGCGAGTGCGAGTGCAAGTACTCGTTACCGGCAACTGGTTACTGATGCTGGCTTCCGGGCAAGATGCCGTCGGGCAACACGATACAGCAATTAAGTTGGTTTAGTTTCGATTTGGTGCAACAGGTTTTTCCACCAAAGCTGATTCGGTTAACAGGCTCAAGGCCGGATAATACAGTTTGTTACAGGTCGCAAAGGTTCTGGCTGTCGCTCACAAGCCAAAGATGTATGTATATGTCACAAAAAGATATAGTGCCAAGTTTTGTGCTTCAAATTTTCAATTTAAAATTGAACTCCACGTCTTAAGTTAAATTATAATGTTTGTAATTATGTACTTACCTGTAAATGTACGATGATGCTATCGTCATCTATCAGTAGGCGGGAGATAAACTTTTATGTAAACACATTCCTGAAAGAAAAGAAAAGAAAAGCAGAGATAATGTTTAATTGTTGAAAGACGCAGCATACTACCCACACCTTACTTGTATTTGTGAGAATCGCGTAGTAGAGCAATATTTGTAAATACTTTTTAGTTCATTTTCAGCTCAGCTCAACATACACACATACATATTTGAATACATTCATGCATGCAGGTATTCAAATACATACAGACCAACATGCATACATACGATTGTAATAGATGTTATTTATAGTGTATATGAATTATAGACATAGTTTTGTTTAAAATACGTACCCGTTTTGGGGTCCTCTGCCGAAGCCATAGCCACTGCCTGCTCCATTGTTATGCTAGCAGCTCCTCCAAAACTGCCGTGTCCAATATTAATACCGTCTCCTCTATGCTTGAAGCCGGCTCTTCAAATTAATGCTGTAGTCTTATCTATCGAAGAAACCATCTCCTCCAATATTAAAGCCGCTGTCGTTTCATTGCACAAGCTGCTGTCTCCTCTATAGATGAAGCTGCCGCCTTCTTCAAAATTGAAGCTGCTTCCTCCTAAGTTGAAGCCGCTTCCTCCTATGTAAAAACTTCCTCCAAAGTCGAGGCCGCCATCTCCTCTATCGTCCAAGCTGCTACCTCCTGCCTCCTGCTGTATTGAAGCCGCCTCCACAACTTGAAGTGAAGTCTATAAGACCTACTTGAATTCGTGAGAATTGCAATCATAGTTGAAGCTGCCGCCTCCTTCAAAATTTAAGCCGCTTCCTCCCAAGTTGAAGCCGCTTCCTCCCAAGTTGAAGCCGCTTCCTTCCAAATTGAAGCCGCTTCCTCCCAAATAGAAGCCGCTTCCTCCCAAATAGAAGCCGCTTCCTTCCAAGTTGAAGTGGCTTCCTATCAAGTTGGAGCCGCTTCCTCCTAAGTCGAAGCCGCTTCCTCCTATATAAAACCTTCCTGCAAAGTCGAAGCCGCCATCTCCTCTATTGTCCAAGCTGCTGCCGCCTCCTGCTGTACTAAAGCCTATGAGACCTACTTGAATTCATGAGAATCGCGTAGTAGGGCCTGCACATAAACATACAAAATATAGGCATACCATATATAATTATACACTTATGTATATATGCATACACACATACAGATGGTATGTACACACAAACATACACTCATATTCGCATACATATACTCATGCTTATAAACATACACACACACGCCCACATATAGAGACATGCATATGCATAAGCACATGCATACATACAAGGTACATAACACATACATACGTACACACATCAATGCATACACATATAAATACACATACATACACTAACTTACATACATGCACAAATATACAAACATGTATACATACACATATAAATACTGACAAACACACATACATACAAGCTTATATCCATATGTACCCACATACATACATACACACACAAACATGCATACATACATACACACATACATGCATACACAAATTCAAACACACATACATACACACAGCATTCATACATACATACACACACACAGACACACACACACAAACACGCACACTAACACACACACACACACACACACACACACACACACACATACACATACACACACACATACACACACACACACACACACACACACACACACACACACACACACACACACACACACACACACACACACACACATACACACACACACACACACACACACACGCACACGCACACACACACACACATACATACATACACGGACATGCATACATGCATATACACACACACACAAATACATACATACACAGACACATACATAAATTCATAAATACATACAGTCACAGGCATACATACATAAACAAATTGCAATATATAGAAAAATGAGTTTGAAGCCGTCCGCCCAATAAATCTTTGACTCGCATTTTCCACGTAGGAACGGTCGAAACTTTTTATTGCCCATTAAACGTTTGATCAGAGGGCGTGGATTTTGCATGAGACACGTTTCAAATGAATTTTCACAAGGATCCTTGAGTATGAATTTAAGCCACCAGCTAGCAAATCTTTGACATCCATTTCTAAAAGTGTGAAACACCAGTCTAATTCCAGTTACCATATGTGATGAAAGTGCACGCTAATATGAGGTTTTGGACAATTCCACACGCAAGCGTGGAAAAATCACGGAATCTAATTCTATGATACTTTTTTGCTTGCAACTTATTTCCTGCATTTCCTTTTTGTGGAAATGGGGGGGTCGAAAACTGGGCGGTTGAAGTTTTGGGCTTAAGGTCATTTGCGAGAATATTTATGGAAATGCATTTAAGACGTGACTCAGACGTTTCGCAAAATCCACAACTCTTGGTCGAAGATTTTATGGGCGCAGTAATAAGTTGAGTCCGATCAAAGCTCTGCATAAGGACTTAATAGAGATGTGTTTCAGCGTAAAATGAACCCAGGCAAAGCCGGATAATATCCGGTAATAAAATATGTGAATTGAGATAAAAAAATAAAAGAAGAAGCAGCAGCTGTGTGACACAAGCGTCGCACTGGCTGCTGCCGCAATCACAGCTGGTGTCCCCAGTTGGGCACCGATTTCGCTTTGGCGTTGCCTCTGCCTGGCTTTCTGGCTAATGAGCCATGAGTCAACAAAAGCGCACAGCATCCATGCAAACAGAGCACCACAGCACCCACAGCACCCACCTCATCCACCCAACCACACACACACCCTGCCGTGTGTTGTGCAGTGTGCTAAAATATTTATGGCATACACTAAAGCCCGCCGAGTCCGCTCGGTCACCCGCATTGCGTGCCATTCACCCAGGCACAGGCACTGGGCGAATCAATCAATTTGCTTGGGCAAACCTACGAGCAGCATGTGACAAGGTGGCAGCAGCTTCTACACAACACACCTGAGCTGGATGTATCTAAGTGTGTGTGCGTGTGTGTGTGTGCGGGCCAAGTGGCGTCTCACTTGACTTTAAAATGACATCGAGCTGTCTGAAGTCGCTATCGTTCGCCTTCCCCGCCCCACTCTCTCAAATCCCACCCTCCACTTTTTCCCCTTTCCATGTGTGCATGGCTGGGAAAACAGATAGCAGCAGCAGCAAATGACAACGACGCTGGCTTCTGTGTCCATGTTGCGGATGTGGGAAAGCTTTTGAGTATGGCTGCCAGCTGTTTGCTACACTGCAAGAAATTCTCCTGCATATTCATTCGATTACTCTAAGGCTCCATGACAAGTGGCAACCCTGTGTGCCCATCGATAACAAAGCTCAAGTCTGCCTAAAATGATATGCTCCATTTTAACTTTCTCAATATATCCAATGCCTCTCTAGGGGGGTTTGTCTCCTGGTAAAGTATTCCGATTCCTGCGATTCGCTGTGTCAAGTGGCAACCCTGTGTGCCTATCGATAGCATTGCTCAAAGCTGTTAAATATAACATTATCAAATGCTTCTACTTTCTCGGTGCATCCAATACCTCTTTAAGAGAGTTAATTTCTCGGTGGAGTATTCCGATCATTCCAATTTATTGTGCCAAGTGGCAACGCTTACTACAATTCCATGTGCGAAGTGGCAGCCCTGTGTGCCTATCGATAGCATTGCTCAAAGCTGTTAAATATAACATTATCAAATGCTCCTACTCTCTCAGTGTACCTCTTTAAGAGAATTAATTTTTTGATAGAGTATTCCGATTATTCCAATTTGTTGTGCCAAGTGGCAACACTCAGTGTTTTTCGATAGCACACATCGCTAGTAACGCTCAAATATACATATATTTAATATAACATTATCAACTTTTTCCATCTTCTCAGTGCATGCAATACCTTTCAAGGAGAGTTAACTTCTTAGTAGAGTATTCCGATAACCAAAATTTCATGTGCCAAGTGGCAACCCTGTGTGCCTATCGATAGCACACAAGTTCAGTTCTCTTAAAGATAATATTATCAAGCTATTGTTAACCCTTTGCATTCTCTCGGTGTGTCGAGCACCTCTCTAGACTGGCGAATGAATCAAGCACAGCGCAACAGATGTGCGTAGATGTGAAATATGTTTGAGCTACGCCACAAACGGTATTAAATGCAGTTACTTAACATAACCTCAAAATATATTGTATCACACATGCGATAACTCTTAGCCAGCGGTAAGTTTATAGCTAGCTTTGGATTACAATGAAACTTCAGGTAAATTGGGAGTAGTTGTAAGAAATTTGTAGAATTATAAAATGAGTTTGTAGCCGAAACTTGGATCAGTTAATCTTCAATTTGCATTTCCACCAAGGAGTGTGGATTTTGTCAAATTGTGTGAAACAAAACTTTGTATGCATATAAATTTAATTTAAATTGTTTCCATAATAGCAGAAAAATTGAAATAAAGCAAAAAAAACGTAAAGATCTTTGAAACTAAGTTTAAAGTCAATCGAATGGATTTCCGCGCATTTTCCACATCTGCGTGCGGATTTTCCTAGCGTCCCAGCTCTTACAGCTTGAGCTGTACAGTCAATTCTTAAAGTCTCATCAACTATGCTGCTTACTTAAAGTACTTCAAAAAAAGAAAAACAAAAAACCAAAAAAAGATAGGCAACAGCTGGAAAAGTTTGCACTCATATCGGGCACTATGCGTATTCTCTTATGGGTATTGCCCGTTGCCCGTTTCCCGTTGCGGTTTCAAGTAGTTGGCTTCAAATTACAGGCAGGCAAAGACGTTCGGCCCATGGGGTCGTCCATTCCACTCCACTCCCCATCCACAAGCAGAGCCAAGGACATTTCAGGCAATGGCTCGTCCTGTTGACTTTAACAAAAATTTATGTTGTTTACTTCGAAATAAGCATACAAGAGGCGTCGTCACGAGTGATGCTGGGCTCCCTGGCCAATCCCATGCTGACTGAGACTCTGCCATCGCAATGGAATCAACAGCGGCTCACAGCGGGCAACACAATATGCAGGACCCCCCCCCTACACACACACATATACACACACATACACAGAGGACTGTGACTAATGCCAATGCATTGCAAGTGCAAATCGAAAGATATATTGAGCATTATTCTCGCATTTCTACAATTCGCAAAGTCTCAGTGCCAATCAAAAACAAGTGAGCGTGCTCTAGTAGGGTATGCCCAACTAGAGCATACCCTGTTTGCCCACCTATGATGCCTCAACCGCTCTAGCCTCAACCTGTGCAAATTGCGTTCTTCAATAACGCAGGTGTTTCAAGTCCAAGACTTTTCGAATTCCCAGCGCCCAAAGCTGGCATACAAATATGTGCTTATTTTTGATGGAATAGTGGCATCTAAATAGTGAAATATTCCAAGTGTATGCTTACATTCCAAGAAGCCGCAAACCAATTTTGGTTAACTTAGTTTTGATAGTTCTCGAGTTATGATCCATAAAGTTGGAAAACGGAAGTTAATATCGTTGATAAAGTCGTTGGAAAGTTTGTAGTTTCTAGGCTAAAGGAACCTGACTCTTGATACTGATCAAGAATATATATATAGAGAGATGTCTTCTATTAAGCACTTCCCGTGACAAAATTGAAACAGTTTTTGGTGGGGCAAAACAATATCGAGTGCAGGGCGCGAGGTGATTTACGTGTTAGTTGGCTTAACTTTTGGAAAATGGGCGGGGCCCCTCCCCGCCTACACACACACAGACACACGCACACACACACACAGGGAGAAGAGCCAGTTGTGTGTAATGCGTATAGAATTGATTTGAGGTTCTGTGCGTGCACCTTCAATTAGGCAGCGATTTGGTCGAGATTTGTGCGCCTTAAGGCAGGCAACACAATTGTAAATAAACACAACAAATTCGATTTGCGCACAGAAAAAGAAAAAAAATAAAAACACAAAAGCCAAAAACAAAAAAAAAAAAAAGGAAATGAAAAAACATTTTAAATTCCATTCAACAGAAATATAATCAAGCAGCCAAACAAAAAGAAATATGAATACAATGCGTTCGCTTTCGTTGTGCCGAAAACATTCCCGAAAACACTTTCGGCACATTTTGACCATAAAACGAACCGCCGAAAGTTTGG